TGCAACCTTCTGACAAGCAAACTCAACAGGGAGTCCAGATTCCATTTAACAACCATGTTACTAAGTTTAACAGCAGCAATGATTCATTTGATAATGGTAGCAGGAAAGGTCATAAGTGGGGCAAAGCTCAATTAGCAAATGTCTCACTTCACAACATAAATTTTGGGCTTAATTGTGGTTGTAAACCGAGGACTACCTGTACTAAATTGTAAAGTTATAATTACAAAGAAAGCAATTGGAATCTACAACCATATTAAGTAAGAAGTGATCTTCAGGATTCTGATTATTCCATCTCAGTGCTTGTAATACTTACAGGCTTTGTTTCTGTTTTTGAAAATGGGGTAATTTTTTCTTTTATAAAATTTGGAGTTCCTCCATCCTGTAGATATTCCTTTCTTGTATATTCAGGTACCATTGTATGGCATAACTGATGTCATTCAGTGCTGTTAAATGATAGATAGAATAATGAATAGAATTAGTTTCTTCCTAAAGGATGTTGGGATGTAGGCTCATGTGATAGTGCTTAATTTGCTATTACAATATCATAATATATTAAGATACAATTATTGTATGAATGTATTTGTAGCTATACATTTTGACAGCTAAATGGAACCTCCATTTATATCATTAAGATATCTCTATGTATCAGATACTGGCAATAGGTTATAGTATTCTTTTCATGTGTTTATGATTTGATCTAATGGTATAAATTTGGCCCTGTTGAAAACAGAAAATTGTGGATTAATCCTTGAATTATTTTCTCTCTGTTACAGTGAATAGTTAAGGAGGTGAGAACTTTTCCCTCTAAGATGGGGTAAACAGTGCCCTATTGGACCTGTGAACTCTCAGCCCTATTTTCAAAGCATCTATATGGCAAAATTGGTTGCAAAATTATCAGTTTTCACCTTGTGATTTCTCAGAATTTTCATATAAATGTAAGGAGGAAAGGAGAATTGCTATTGCATTAGTATAATAGCATCAACTTTCTACTCCATTTGTATGCTATGTGCCTATCAAGTATTATCTTTAGAAAAGGTCACATTCACAGGGCAAGTATGGAAATGACTGGTCTTTATAGAATCAGCAAACTGAAGTTAAAAGAAATATTGCAATGTGGTGATCTCCTGCTTTGTCGACAGAATTATTCTTCCCTTGATTTTCTTTTTTCTTTTCTCCACAAAATACATTCAACATTATCAAGACTTTTGGGGAATGTAAGAAAAAGGTTCATTATTTAGGTTTTTCTCCCTGCATGTTTATGGTACTTCTACAGCCTTGAGTTCTCCCAAGTCCCTTGCACAGTGATAATGCCCTTTCGGTTGCTTAATAATTCCCAGTAGAAATATGCAAGCTGAAAAGAGAGTGGATTTTCTTGGCAATTCAGTGTAGTTTCCACTTGTGAAAAGCAGCATATAAAACACTGGAGACTGGTGACATAAATTTTCAATACGGAAAATTGCAGTAATCGGAAATAGAACTGCTTTTGTTTTTATGGAATACCACCTATATCAAAGAACCTACTGGGTGTGGTGGTAATTATCATAGAATAAAAGTTTATAATTTCTGTTCATTTGATGACCATACCATTTCATGAACTAAAACTTGAATTATCATAGTGTAAAGAAACACACACTTCTCCCTCTCCATCACCCAGCCAGATGAGAATATATTAGAATCATCATTCAGATAGGAAGCTTTTTTTTTAGTACTTTTGTTAAAGCATATTCACAGGATTAAGTTAAAAGAAGTTCAGATTTCTCTTGGCTACTATGGTTTTGTAAATAATATTCTAGAACTGCATTCCAAAGTGTTTCAGGTTAATGGCAACTTCTTGGATGTAAAAAGGGATTATGATGCATTTCATCTTATTTTCTTGTCTTTGTTTTTTCCTTGTATAGCTTGAGGAAGGGGGTGGGCATTTATGGAAAACACACACACATACCACACACAACCAGATGCACACAAATATCTGGTTTTGCATAAATTCATATTCCAAAAGAGTGATTAAAAGATTTTCTGATATAAGCTAGCACTATACAACCACAGTGTTTTTCTAGGGCAAAACTCCTATTTCCTAAGGAAATCATAGCTTTATGAGTTGTCATTCTGTTTAACATGGTTATTTTCAAATAAGTAGGAGAAAGGATCTGGAAGAGATTTAGCTGTAAGCCATCACTCTCCACGTTTAGGTCTTTAATTTAGCATATCAGGTACACTTTTGTATGAACATTTAATAGCTGATTGGTAATTATACATTGTATTCCCTTTAGCCTATATCAATCTCTTGGGATTATATAGACAAATTGATTTGTTTTCTCCACAACAATATGGACATAGTTATTACCTCTGTCTGGGATGGATGTCCTGGTCTCCCAACTAAATATTAATCAGGCCTAATTCTGCTTAGTTTTTTTGAGATCAGCTAAGAACAACTAGTTTCTGCCGTCTGCTAAAAAAACTCTGCTTTAAATACCTTAATTCCAGGAAATACATATGCATTCATTTCTCGGTATCTGAGTACACACATTTGGGCAATCTAATGCAAATATCCAAGGTACCAGATTTGAAAATAAATTTGCTTTACATATGGAATGCAAATTTGGTATAATTATTGTATCTGCAGTAATTATAACCTTTAACTGAGCCTTAAACTTTAAATTACTAGAAATAGATGTAGTAAGTGCTATATTAGCATCAGAGCATGAAAATTGATGTCCATCACCACTAAACTGAGAATCACAGCTCTTTCTGATCTGTCTAAATAGCACTTGCTTTTGCTTGCATCTTTTTGATATGAGGACTTCAATGTAGCTGCTAAATTCAACCCTTACAGATAGGCTGTGACAGCAAGAATAGAGTTTGCAGATAAGAGCAGAGCATCTTAGTTATATAAAACTTCCATCTTTCAGTTTGATTTTTCAGGCAGATGTCTGATTTATTTCCCTTTAACTCAAATTCTGAAACAGGGAGGGAAAATACTTTAAGATCTCAAAATAATAATACTAGGTTCAGTTCATCTATTTATTAAATTGAAAGGATTCTTGTGCAATCCTCGAAATACTCCAGTATTTTTCTCATTTTTTTTTCTGGTACTGTTTGGATTTAATTTGGGTAAACCTGCTCTAGAAGACTAAGGCAATCCTAACAGATGGTGACAGAAGTTAGATTACAATCACCCTGAGTACAAAATTGGTGCAGGAAAAGGAATAAGAAGGAAAGCTACTCTATATAAATACAGAGCAAACCCGATTGCTTTCTAGCACTGAAAACGTTACTTAGCCATGTAACATTGTGAAACATTTGCACAAAAACAGCAAAGCTCAGAAAGCATCAAGGACTCCACAAAGAACAATATGTAATAAGTGTTATTGGGTTTCATCACTGTGTGCGAAATCTTTAGTGCTTCTTTTTACAGGGAAGGAAGGAAAAAAGAGGCAAAAGCTATCTAATTCAATCTCAGCTGAAAGAGCCCAGATAATAGGAATAGAGAGATTCCTGGCACTTATCACTGATATAGCTAAAGTTAAATATCTTTAAGGAGAAGAATAATTATGTAACTAGAACTCACCTAAGTAGCTTCTCTGAAGTTGGCCAATGTATCTTTTCTAACCATGCAGAGATTAACTAATTTTAGAAGTACAAATTGAAAACCTCTCTTCTGAGACAAATTAATGCCAAATAATAAAAACATTGCCAAGTGTTCTTGATCAACAATATTTTCCCCCTTCCATTTTTATTGGAATAATAAAAAAAACAATATTCTGAAATTCTTCCAAAGTTCTGCTCATACTTTTTACTGCTGTCATGTAAGAAGACTTATTATAAGCTATATAATGTACTGTATATATGCAGCAGCAGCATTTTATATCTCAGTCAGTGACCCTTTTCTAGATAGATGCTTATTAATGAAAGCTGTACAATTTGCTTAACAGGCTTTTAAATATTATATAAAGGTTTTGTGTGTGAAATTTGAGACTTTAGAAGTTCTGATTACCATGCCTCGTTGACTGTATACATTTGTAAGTAACTGATGCATATTTGACTTGCCCATTAATATAGACCAGGGATGTCAAACTAGATTTCTTTGATTAGCATTGTAGTTCTCTGCGGCTGGCTGTGGGGGAGATAGGACAGATGCCTCCTGCAGCATCCTGCCAGCCAAAAGGGGTGTGGGGTGGGCATGTGGCCCTTGTGCCCTATTTTTGGCCTGGATGGCCTCCTGCAACATTTTGCTGGCCAAACAGGGTACTGGGGCCAGGAAGGGGGGGAGATGGGATGGATGTCTCCTGCAGCATTTTGCCAGCCAAAATGGCCGGGGAGACTGCGCATGCACCCCTGACCTATTTTGGCTGGCAGGGTGTTTCAGGACGCTGTCCAGTAGAAAAACGGGGCATAGGGTGCCCCTGCATGGCTGCTAGGGGCACCGTGGACCAATCCTTTGCTATTTCCAGGCCATCCCCTCAGGCCAGATTTAAGCACCCCTGATATAGATTATGCTAGCACCCTTTAGTCTGGCCAATCACAGATAATGCAGATGCAACCTGAGGCGTCAAGTTTTGTATGCATGCGAATGCAGTATATACAATCAGAAGTACTGCAGATAGTTGAGCTTTCTCTACTTTTGATATCTTCCTCTTTAATTAAATTGTAATCCATCTGGGAAAAAAAATCTTCTTGTGACTAGGGGAACAAACCTATCTGTTCCATTTGAGTTTTTAGACCTGCTGTTTGGGTAGGTGAATGTGTAAAATATGTTTGTTTTTAAAATCATGGCTAAGAGCATATCACGAGCAATTAAATTGTGTAATAATTAATACACAGAAGCAGAACAGAGCGTTAACGCTTGTACTACTTACTCAAATGGGAAGGTCACTTATGGATTTAGAACCGTCTTTGTTTTATTTCAAAGAGTCTTTAATGTCTGTTTCAATTGTAATTCTAAGATGAGATCCATCTAATCTTTTGTTCTGGCATTTTGTTCTTTTTCCTCCTTTCTGTAGAAACATGTAAAGAAAGCTGCTGTGGCTAGAGTCGCACACAGGGAGTTTTGAGATATACGCTCCCTTTCTTCCTTGCTCTTCTCCACAGGATGGAACAGAGAAAGCTCTGGCCTCGGACATGGGACTCCGATGGCTGGTCAGTGGCCCTGGCATTTCTTTTCTTAGTCTTTTTACAGAACATTAACAGCACTCCTATCTATAATACGTTTCATCCTGAGAACCGTGACTGGACTTTCAATCACTTGACAGTCCATCAGACAACTGGGGCAGTCTATGTGGGAGCCATCAATCGGGTTTACAAGCTGTCTGGAAACTTGACTGTCTTGGTAGATCACAAGACGGGTCCTGAGGAAGACAACAAGTCCTGCTATCCACCACTAATTGTGCAACCCTGTACTGAGATCCTGACTCTGACGAACAATGTTAACAAGCTCCTGATCATTGATTACTCAGAAAATAGGCTGCTGGCCTGCGGGAGTCTCTATCAAGGTGTCTGTAAATTGCTGCGCCTGGATGACCTCTTCATCTTAGTGGAGCCATCTCACAAGAAAGAACACTATCTGTCCAGTGTCAACAAGACTGGCACTATGTATGGAGTTATAGTTCGTTCTGAGGGAGAAGATGGGAAGCTGTTCATTGGTACAGCAGTGGATGGTAAGCAGGATTACTTTCCCACCCTCTCTAGCCGAAAGCTGCCTCGTGACCCAGAATCCTCAGCTATGTTGGATTATGAGCTCCACAGTGATTTTGTTTCATCACTAATCAAAATCCCTTCAGACACATTGGCCTTAGTATCTCACTTTGATATCTTCTATATCTATGGATTTGCCAGTGGAAATTTTGTTTATTTTCTGACTGTCCAGCCAGAAACTCCTGAAGGGGTTTCTATCAATTCAGCCAGTGACCTTTTCTACACATCTCGGATTGTGCGTCTTTGCAAGGATGACCCTAAATTCCACTCCTATGTTTCTCTGCCCTTTGGTTGTGTCAAAGGTGACGTGGAATACCGTCTACTACAGGCAGCTTACCTTTCTAAGCCAGGGGAGGTGCTTGCCAGATCCCTGAACATCACTGCCGAGGATGATGTCCTTTTTGCTATTTTTTCCAAGGGACAAAAGCAGTATCACCATCCCCCTGATGACTCTGCTCTTTGCATCTTTCCCATCCGTGCAATCAATGCCCAAATTAAGGAACGGCTACAATCTTGCTACCAGGGGGAAGGCAACTTGGAACTCAACTGGCTACTAGGGAAAGATGTCCAATGTACCAAGGCGGTAAGAGTGATTACTGTATTTTAAATAGGGTTACTTTGAGGAAGATAGAAGCATATTAGCAGTATCGCTGTTAGAAATTGTGGGATTTAAGTATTTGCTTCCTGACAAAATTTTGAGGAAGTCTTCTGAAAGAGAAACCAGATTTGACTGTTAGCTCAGTTTTTAATTTATTTCAGGCAAACATTTTTTCAACATATTTTCTGGCAGAATTAAAAAGGCTGCTGCTGGAGTTTCAACTTGATCTACCGATTGTGCAGAATAAGTATGAATGGAAATGCTCAAACATTTTCCCATTTGTAGGTGTTGTGATTACACAGCTTTTTTATGCATGAAATTGAACACTAATTCATTCATGGATTATAATAACAGAAAAGGGAAGTTTGTATTGGCTAAAAGTCATTTTGTTACTAAAACAATGGGGAAAAATTAGTTTGGAGGCCTTACATTATTTTAATATGTATAAATATTTATTTATATTTATAATACTTATTGAATATTTTATTCTACATATTTATTCCTTATATATTTAATTGTATATTTAACACTTCATACACAGAAATTCAAGGTTTCTGGAAACAAACCTTAAACATCACTGGCAATTTTAATGACATTTTATACTCTTTGTCTTGGTTAATACAACTGCCCCAGGATGATAAATGCAAGAGTTATGTGTGTTTGTCATCCCCCGCTCATTCTGGTCAAAATAAAAATTGATTTCTATATCGGAGCATACAAAGGAAATGAAGTGGCTCTTAGAGACATTGCTTTTAATGTTTTACATGCATGTAGCCTAACTGCACAAGTCAATACTATTAACACGAAGCTCTTTTGCTTATATTCTGCTTTTGTACCCTTGAAGTATTTGGTTGATGGAGAGTAGAATGCCTAACCAGACAGATTCTGATTAGAGAAGGAGAGTTTTTCTACTGGTTGTTTAGGATACCTTCTCCAATCTTATCACCGTACAAAATATTAAACTGTATTTCCTATTATTGGCAGTAAGTATAATATATTCCTGTATACTTCAAATATAGTAAGATAAAGTTTGTTTACAACATTTTGCTGGAGTAAAATGATGCAGACCATCCTGGCTGCTCTCCCTCAGATTGCCATGTCCTTAATTAGTTCCTTCCTAGAGAAGGTGTCAGAAAGAATGGGATGTTAATCAGTGGTGGGTTGCCAATTTTGTTACTACCGGTTCAGCCATGTGACGTTTCTGCACATATGTAGAAGCGTTCAGGCAGGTAGGCAGAGCCTTTTGCCACCGCTACTACTGGTTCACTCAATCCAGCCCAAACTGGCAGCAACCCATCTCTGATATTAATGCTTCTCATTAAAGCAGACATGTATTGACTGTTTCTAGAAAAAGACAAAAAGCTTACAAGAAGAAAATCATAGTTTGTTTTCTTCAGAGTGCAGGGATCTGGCTACTTTTAACATGTTACTAACCATCAACTTCTATTTTGGGGAGGATGATTGAGAAGAAATAGGAATATATTAATTATATTGCTTTATTGCTTGTACTGGTTTGTGGTGTATAATTATATTTATTTACCAGCACTGCACTTAATTATAATTATACTCAAGATAAAAACTAGTGAGATTCAGAGAATGCTTATGGTGAACTGAGAATTAATTTCTTCACAACGTTACAGAAAGGCCAGAGGTATTTCACCAAATGACTTGCACTGGCCTATTTCTTGTGCAATTTTCAGAATGCCAGCTTCATTCCTAATGCAGATTTTTTGAAAATTTTCAGCCAGTTCCAATAGATGACAACTTTTGTGGATTGGACATTAATCAGCCGCTGGGAGGCTCCATACCAGTAGAGGGAGTGACCCTGTATACATCCAGTCGTGATCGGATGACTTCTGTTACATCATATGTCTACAATGGCTACAGTGTGGTGTTTGTGGGTACCAAGAGTGGCAAGTTAAAGAAGGTAAGGCAACTATTTACTGTAGATATTTCATTTCTCTATGGGCATTGATGGTTAAAAGTTTTACAAAATGTTATTTTCCATATTTTCAACCAATATTCATTTCATCTATTCATTTATTAGATTTTATCCTGTCTGTATTTTTGCTGAACTCAAGATGGCATGCAACTGCTCTTGTTTCTTATATCTCATAAAACGACTATATGTGGGTTAAGAGGCTTACTGGCTTAAAGTCACCCAGGTGGCTTCCCTGCCTAAGGAAATATATATTGCTTTAGAGCAGCCTTTTTCAACTTTTTATTCTGGAAGAACCTTTAAAATGATTTTTGGCCTCAGAAATCCCTAAATATATTGCAAAAACCTGACAAAATGTTCTGCTTATGGCCTGTTGAATCCATGTATGAATATTTGTGTTTACAACAACAAAGTGGCAAGCCAGCAACTGTTGCAGCATAAAAATTCCCACTAGTAGGAGTGTTAGCATTGTAAGGCACATACATTCTTTTTTTCCCCCAGTCATATCTCATGAAACTAAATTCCAATTAAGAAAGGATGCTCTAGGAAAAAGAGAACTGAGAATGTTGTTTGATATTGTTTATTTGTTTGAAAAATGTTCTTAGAAAACTGAGAACTGAGAACATATTTTGGTCATGCAATGGGTTTCTATCCTTACCTACTTTAATTTTGAATTATCTGAGGAATGTTTGATTCTCAAATACCTCTTTTCTTGTGCAATCATATCTATCATAGTCAACCATGATTTCCTTGGCTACTTTTGCTTCCCCAAATCATAAAGATCTATGGACTTTTTTATGATCAGGAAGCAAGGGCAGCCAAGGAGAATGAAGAATGTTGGAGAGGTATGTAAATTGAAAATTGTTGGAGAGGTATGTAAATATAAGAATTAAATATTCAAATTCTTGTGGTTTTGGTTTTTTTAAAAAATAAAATAAAAATACTCCTGGGTTCATATGAGTCAATATTTCTGTTTTCATTTGCTAAATAAGTCACTTTATTGTTATATTTTTAAAAGACAAATTTATTTTAATATACTTTTCAAACATGATCTAAGCCTCTTTCTGCTCTGTGGAACACAATTTTTTAGGGCTATCTCAACCAATTATTTGCACTTGTTCTTTTGAAGACATGCTGTTACAACATCACCATTACTACTGCTACAGTCATGTCAGGAGTGTCTAGGCACTTCTGGGTTTAATGGGGAGTTTTACACTATAGATTCTGTGAAACTGGAAAAACATGCAGATTTTCAGTATTAAAATCCACATATGATTTTTCAGATTTTCAATATTAAAATCACATTTGAATACTTTTAGATTATTATCTAGAAGATCTGTTATATTTAAGGCTTGTTTCTTTATGCTTGGTCACATATTTTTGTACAGTATGGATAGAGTAATACATTTCTTCTGACTTATCATCTGTAGATGTCTCTGGAAACATGCATTCTTGATTTCACTTTTTTCTTTTGAGCAGTGGAAATCCTGATATTGACAGCAACTTCCTTATAATATTTAAGAGGAATATAAGAGTTAATATGGACAATGGTAGCCTTTTTAAAATGCATAGTCTAATTCAGGCATTGCTATTTTATACTCTAATCTGGCTGTTCACCATTCTGCACTTTCTATGGACTTTATCCTATGACCAACTGACCCATTAGATAAAATTCTTCATAGCCTTTGTTGTAGAAGCAGGGTACTTGCCCAAGGGGCATTTTTCATTCCTTTGCTTTTAAACAAAGGCTTCTTTTTGGTGAAATTTAGGAAGTGAAAAGGTAATTCATTGTGGCTTTTTCTTCACACTTATTCATGGTAAAACAATAAAGCTCTGTGGTAAATTAGATGTTCACATAAATTTAAACTTTCCATTCTGACAGCTTTAGTTTAGAAATTGGTAATTTCAATCAGTTATGGACATAACCTCATTGCTGAGTGCTATCATTTCCCATTTGCCTGTTGAGAATGAATCCTGATACGCCATCATAAGTCATAATAATATCCTCTTAGGAGTAGAGGAAGGAATAAGGCTGTGATTTTCCCAATGCAGTCTCCATGGATATAAAAATCTGCTCTGGGGTGTTGGATAAGGTTTTAAAAATACAGATAATCATTGTGCAGCAGCAAAGGAACACAGGAAACTCTAAATTCTTTGCTTCCATCTAGAGGTCATATGGATTTTTACAGCCCAAATATGGTAGTGCAGAACACATGAGGTTGCAGAACACATGAGGTGAAAGGAGAAGTTACAGAAGGAGGTATGATCAAATGTAATGAATTCACTAGTGAATGTAATGTAATTTGTTACATTAACTAACATAATGAATCTTAGCTAAGGAATTAGGCATGTTATGGCTGAATTCACAGGGCATCCTAGGTCATCATTTATTTGGCTGTGATTTGTTTCACAATGATTTCTTAAATAAGCAATAATTGGCTCAGCTCAAGCATTATGTTAAAGCAAGAGCCCTGATTTCCTAACCACAAATTTACATTTATATGACATGTTGGAGCAAAATTGAGAAAACCTCATTATGGTGTATGGTATTAATTCTGCCAACAGGTTTGCTTTCCAGTTATAACTGTAATTCACACGATGACACAAGAAAGTTTTAGCTTAGGAAAGTAGGTCTGCTCATTTTTCACCACCTTCCCAATAAAATCAAGTGATACTTGACTAAACCTCATGAGTTGGTGGATGAAATGAATTCCACATTGCATAATTAAACTTTGAGTGTGCTTTAAAAAAAATAGGGTAGTACAACCACTTGCAGTTATTCACAAGCAAGACCCATGTGTTCCTTGGAACATAATCCCACACATTTGTTAATATATATTTGCACAGAAATTTTATTAATGTGTTCAATGAGTCTACATTTTTATAGACCCATTTTCTGAAAATAGTTGCAGGCAACTGAGCTGTTGACCTTCATCTTAATTTCAAGACTACAGATGGTTTGTCATTCCATAATTGTTGGATTACCAGTAACATCCTTAATATTGACCACAACTGCTGGTAGTATTGTACAGTTCTTTACCTCTTTGTCTCAGTACTCTGTTAGAAACAAAATTTCTCAAAGGTATCCCAATTAAATAGTGTGTGACATCAGTGTATATGTGGGTGTGCTTAGACCACTGCAGTTTTAGCTGGAAAGTCTTTACTTTAAAATGCACTTAAAGAGAGTAGCTTGTATGTGAATTTTGGTAATTTAATGTTCCAAGGGAAATTGTGTTCTATTAATTATGTAGGATTACTAAAGGACTGCTCATTTTGGGATGGTTTAATCCCGGATGGCATTTTTATAGTGGAAACTTTTTAAACAGATGCATTTTTTATGCCAAGTCTAGGAATTAGGCTGCTGTTGCTGTCATTACAGAGTCACATAGGTTCATCACATTTGGGTTAAAAATTTCAAAACTCCCCACCTTCCTCTTGCCAATTGAAATCCACCCATCTTAAAATTGCTGAGATTGAGAAACAGTGTTCTAGAGTAATATATAAAAAGACGAAATGTGTATCAGTGTTAATGCCTGTTACATTCCAGAAGTCAGAAAATATTTGTTGAAAATTAGAACAAATTCTAAAATTCTAAAAAAATCTAAATAAAATTATAAATCCTAAAAAAATCTTATACAATATATATATTGTACACACACACACATACATACACACATACATACCTACACACACACACACACACACACACACACACATTGCTTAAAATCATGTTTTTCAAAGCAGGAATTAAGCAACTTATTCTCAGGGCAGAGGATTTGGCTCTCACTAACCCAGTGACCCTGATTGAAATTGCTGATTTTCTCATTACTACATTTTAGTTGTGGGAAGAAACTCTGAGTTTTAAGGGGAAATTGCCAGATATAGTACAAACGTGCCATTCAAGTAAGGATGAATTTATTTTAAAATGAAGATATTGAGTTGAGCCAATGATTTCTCCTAATAAAAGAATTGCAGTACTTTAGAGCTTTAAGAACTTGCCAGTCTAAAAACATTATGGTGTAAACAGTGCCATGTAAAATATAAACACAGTTTAAAGAACTATTACTTGATGACCAGTCTGAACCAATAAGAGTTCAGAACTGGCAATCTTGATTGCCAGAATAATCCATTAGTTATGGTCTTCTGCTGAATGGAGTTTTTTTCTTCTTCTTCCTCTTTTTGCCCTATGGGGATTTTCTTGCTGGAAAGGATTTGGGAAGCTTATTCTGACCATATCATTTTCTAAACATATCTCTGTGTCTTCGGAGGATTCGTCACTGAGAACATTGCACTCCTATGGCAGTATGCTATTTCCTCTTAATCGATTAGTCAGTTTCTGTGAAATCCTCATTACTAATCTATTTATTTTTCTCTATTAGCTTCTATGTTGCAAAACATCTAACTGTGGTTGAAGAAACAGCAGACCTTCCCTAGTGTAGGCTATATCATATCCTGATAAATGGTGTATCTAATTTGCCTAAATTTAACTGCAAAACATTCCATCTTAAAGCTAAACAGAACATGATGATATTCCTGCTCTAGTTGTAGTAAAGCAATATATAAATGTCCTGATAACAATAGCCTCAATATTGGAAGAAAATGAATATTTATAACAATTCATTATCTATAACAACAGTTCTTTATGTAGACTTGGTGTGTCTTGGCTGGTTGCACTTGAGGAAACGAGGAATGAAGATGAAAGTTTAATTTTGAAACCTACAAATTAATAAATTTACTAGAGCCAGAAATGCCTTTATTCAACTTCCATTTTTCATTCTCAAGGAAAGTAGACCGAGCTCTTGTTGGTGTTTCTATTGAAACTTTTTTGAGTTGCCACATCTCATAAATATAGATTTACAGAGGAAAAGGGTCCATCTCCATTTCTTATCATCCCACATTTTCCAATGTTTTCTTTGTTATATTTTTCCCCTTTTAACAAAAGCAACTTAGAATCCTGCACCTCTGGTAAATATAATGGATCACTTTTA